ATATTCCATCAAATAGATGGAATATTTTTTTTAATTCCGCATTCAATATTTGGGTTACTTTCCATTGTTTTAGAAAATATAACCAACCAATGCATTGAACATCATTAAACAGGAATCTTTGTATATTTTCTTAGGTTACCTTTCTAAAAATGGGCCTAGTAGATAAGAACTTTTAAAAGATTGTGCCTGGAGGATTTCTCATTGACGCTCCTGCTGGCCCTGGAGAGCGCCATCTGGCTGCTTCCCTCCAGCTGAGCATGGCTGGTCCCAGGTCCTGTGACTGCCTCCTGGCACTGGGAGAGGTGTGGACTCTGCACGTGGCTCTGGGAGCACAGCCTAGAGACCGCCCAGTGGCATGGGCACTGTTCTGATCATGAGGACTTCAATCCCGGGAGCTCAGGGTGTGAGCAGAAACGGGCAGGTTGCCCTGAGGCTGGGAGTCAGGGCGAGGAAACTTATTCAAGTGCACAGACAGGGCTGTGCACAGTATTTCAGTGGAAGCAGAGAGCAGGGCAGAAAGGTGAATCCTTTCAGGTAGGAACTGTCATTCTCATGTTTAGATGGAATATGTGTGACCTACCTACCCCTCCTTTGAACCTTCTCTTCCTGATCTTTGTCCGATCACTCTGATTGAGTGTCCCATGCACCCTTGAAGGGACGTTCAGGGCTACCAGATGCCCCAGGGCACCCTACAGCCACCTCACCACCCAGATCCTAAACTGCATACAGGGAACCTGAAATGTTAGCAATATTTCAAAGTCAAGCCCTAGTTAGTTTGGCTCAGTAAATAAAGCCACAGACGGAAGGGTCCTGGGTTCGATCCCGGTCAAGGGCACATGCTTGGGTTGCAGGCTCAATCCCCAGTGGGGGCGTGCAGGAGGCAGCTGATACAGTGATTCTCATCATTGGTGTTTCTATCCCTCTCCCTTCCTCTCTGAAATCAATAAAAATACATTTTTTTAAAAAGTCAATATAAAATGCTGATATTGAAAATATTTTCAAACTAGTTTTTTTTTTTTTTTTTTTTTTTAGGGGGAAGCCATTTTATAAAACCAATTTTGAATCAGTTGAAGCAATCTGTTCACTACACTGAAACATAGAAAGAATTGAAAGGCTGTGGTACACTTGTGGGAAGCACTTCAAACACTTAAAAAGCAGTTTTTATCATTCGATGTGGTCCTCCGGGGCTAGCGTTTTGGCTGGAGCTAGAATCCAACGCTGAGGGCACTGCCCACGACCTCCCAGCACCGCATGGCCAGTGAGAATGGACGTGTTCGGTGCAGTGCTTGGTGTGTAACTTAGTTTCTCATTCACGAAGCAGAATTTTCCTTTTTGAAATTTAAACTTGCATGTCTACATATTTCCATTCTGCTAGTACTAATTAGGTTCTTTTTCACCTTTTCTTGGATCTGGAAACTTTTCTTCCATTGTTTATTTCCTCCCTCCTTTTACTTTCCTCCTTCTGTAACTACCATTAGATAAATACTAGGTCTCCCGGATGTTTCTTCCAAATTTCCTAGCATGTCCCTCTTGTGTTATATCCTACCTGCTGTTCACCCATCTACTGAGGTGTGTGTATTTTTTAAACAATCAAATTTTAACTATTTTGAAATAATTTCAAACTTCCAGAAAAGTTGGAAAGTTGTTTAAAAAATACCATTTACCCTTCACCCAGATTCATAAACTTACATTTTTGCCACAACTGCTCATTTTGTATGTGTATATACAGGAAGTACAAAGGCTCCTGGAGTTTGTGGTCACATGCTTTTTTCTCAACTACTTGGAGTACATTGCAGAGCTCATGCCTCTACCCCTAAGTACTTCAGGGATATTCTATTATACAACCAATTATCAAAAGCAGGAAAGTTAACGTCGATACCGTGACACTTACCTGCAATACCATAATCTGTCGACCTACTCAAGTTTTGCCAGGTGTTTTCATAAAAGCCATGAGGGCACATTTTCCAGTCCCACAGTCTGGCTAGGATCTTGCATTTAGTTGTCATATCTCCTTACTCCCCTTCAATCTGAACCAGTTGTCCAGCTCTTGACTTTTGTGATACTGACATTCTCTGGAGTAAAGGCCAGTGAGGGGTGGACATGATGTTTGTGTGTTTCTGAGGGCATCCCACCAGCATGGGACTCATGAGTTTTTATTCTATTCATGGGTCATATAGAGTTGCTAGGTCATTATTGGCTTTGATGTTCAAATTGACCCAGACTTGGCTATTGGGAGTTCATCACACTGTCTCCTGAGCTCTTTGACATGTGCCCATTATTTTTTGTTTTTACTGATTTCAAAGAGGAAGTGAGAGGAATAGAGTTAGAAACATCGATGAGAGAGAAACATCAATGGGCTGCCTCCTGCATGTCCCTTACTGGGGATCGAGCCCGAAACTTGGGCATGTGCCCTGACCGGGAGTTTAACCGTAACCTCCTGGTTCATGGATGACACTCACCCACTGAGCCACGCCGGCCTTTTTGGCACATGATGATGTTCCAGGCTCAGCTGCTATTTTTTTTGCTCCAGTCAGCCCTCTGTAGGCATTCGGGTTCCCTTTAAGGGAGATATTTGGAGACCAGAATCTGGGTGGCAAATAAGATTTATCTTTACAATTTTCTCTCTTGTTTCTAAAGATTTACATGTTCCAAAAACTTCAGTTTGGTGAGTTTTGGGCCTTGTTCCTGATCCTAATTTTCCACAAGTGTTTGGCACTCTGGGGCTGTTGCTCATAGAGTTAGTGGATCCCTTCTCACCTTGGTTCCACATTCCTTGGACTCGTTATTTTTTCAGGGAGGAGTAGGATAATCACTGTTGGAGCAAATATCAGCAACCCTTTCCTCCTCTTTGCCTACTTGAGGGCACCAGGCTTCCCCACTCCCTTTACTTCCTCACTCCCCCCTCCCCCAAGAGGGTTATCTTTGTCAAACCAGGTTTGGGGGAGCTTCTTGATAGAAGAGGGTGGGGGATGGTGCTCAGGGGTGTTTTGTTTTCAAGATAAACATGGACTACAGGGGACTACAGAGGAGCATCCCGGAGGGGAGGAGAGCTTTAAGAAACAATGTTTCTAGACCATTCTATCCCCTGCGTGGTGTTTGTGAAATAAAAGTAAATGTCGGGCCTTATTTGGACATGTTGTTGTGGACATGGAGATGTCTGATTGACTCCCTATGGTCTCAGGTCACCAGGGCAGGGGCTTCCTGCCTACTGAGCCTCTGGAGGGTGTGGGGCTCAGCATTGACCTCACGGAGGCCACTGCCGCCCTGCTCAGCACAGGCAGGGATGGCGGCTGAGTTTGAGTTGCAACTCCGCCGAAATCACTCCCATTTCTCCAACAGTCTCACATGCTTGGGGTTATGATTGCTTATTGCTATTTCATTTTATACTTGATCCTTTCTCCTTCCTGTTGTTTTGGGAATTACTACAATTTCCCGGTCTGCTTACTCTTTTCTTGCTTCTCAGTGGTATTTTTGAATTTTTTCCGGCAGGTTGGGGAGGTCTGATACCACTGGGCACTGTGCTCAGTGAGCTGTTGCTCAGGACGCTGTGAGGGAGGCTGTTTGAATGCTGACCTGGGTAGCAGGTCTACCTGAAGGCACTGAGAGTCTCCACCCAGAGACTTGGATCCCTAGCGCAGATGAGCAGTCTATCAAGTAAACTTTAGAGTCCGTGCTGAGCTGGAGTCCTGCTTTTACGAGTGTTAAAACAGAAGATGGGCACTCAGCGTGATGTGAGGCTGGGTGAGATTTGCATGGGAAGCATCCCAGCTAAAAGACCCATCGTTTCTCTAGGTTCCCCAGAAACTTGCCGGGTGACTCATCCAAGCTGTGGACAGTGCTTGCCAGGTAGCACTCCTGTTTGTAACCTTGCTCTGGAGGACACGTGCCCTTTATGGAGGATATCAACTCCCTCCCTGTTACTCAGCGCAATACAGTTCCACTTAGTCGTCGGCACAGCCTGACCGATAGCAACAGCGAGCGGCAAGAAGGCCCGCTGTTCTACCAGCAGCCAGGGTGCCCTGGCACTGCCTCCCGTCTGTCAGGCGTGGCCCACACACCAGCCTTTGGTCAGGAGTGGTCTTGGCAACGAAGACTACACTGGGTGCAAGGCCCTGGCCAGAGGGAAGAGCAGGCAGCGAGGGCTGAGCCAGATCCAGTAGGCTGACCAGCTCATACTACGGATGGAAAAAGTTCAAGAAAGATTGTGCTTTGGCCCACATCAAACCATCGGTGGCAGAGTGGCCTGCACACGGCTCCCCTTAGCACTGATGGCTTACACGTGGGCACGCCCACCTCAGGGGTAAATATACTCGGAGGGAGTCTGGAGTGATGGCCCTAGAAAGCACGGGCTGGGACCTAGGGAACCTGGACACCAGCCCCCTCCGTCCTCATTCCCCAGCCCGGTTGATTTCCTCACGGAGAAGAATATAGCCAACCAATACTAAACACCTACTACCAAAACGAAACATTTCCCCACAGCTAGACGACTGCTTTCTCAAGCCTGTTTGCTCTAGAGCAGTGGTTCTCAACCTTCCTAATGCCGCGACCCTTTAATACAGTTCCTCATGTTGTGGTGACCCCCAACCATAAAATTATTTTCGTTGCTACTTCATAACTGTAATTTTGCTACTGTTATGAATCGTAATGTAAATATCTGATATGCAGGATGTATTTTCATTGTTACAAATTGAACATAATTAAAGCATAGTGATTAATCACAAAAACAATATGTAATTATATATGTATTTTCCGATGGTCTTAGGCGGCCCCTGTGAAAGGGTCGTTCGACCCCCAAAGGGGTCGTGACCCACAGGTTGAGAACCGCTGCTCTAGAATATGCAATTTTTTAAAAACCATATGTTATTATTGCAAAGAATAACTAACTCTGCTGGACTATCTGATCCAATAATGTCAGTGCTCACTGTGGAGGCCTCTGTGTGTTTTAGGCAGAATTAACTGAACCTGGAGTAAGGTGTGTCCTAGAGTAATGGGAGTCACACTTATCGCAAACAGTTTTATTTTGCCCCACATTTCCACCCCTCGTCACATCCTTCCCGCCATCAGTTCACCGGGCAGAGCTTGCTGCTTGATTCCAAAGATGATGAAATTGAGGGAGACTTTTAGTCGTCTTCCCTCCTCATCCCTCAGCTCCCTTCCTGATAGAGATGCTAATCAGAATGAGGGTGGTCAGGCGTGGGAGAGCGTGAAAGGGTGAAAGCTACACACATTTTAGCTCGCAGTTCGCACGTGGCCTTTGTCCCGTGTGCGGCAAGGAGAAAAGGGGGTGAAGTTAAAGTTACAGGTACATTCGAGGAAGGACTGAGACTACGGAAAAGATACTAATTGTGTTTCCTTCGCCTAAACTCGACCAGTTTTCATTTCTGACTGACAGACCTAACCGGCTGGTCTTCTCCTGCCGGCAGTGACTGGAGCCTGGTTTCCCGGATAGTCCAAAATGCCACCTCTATTCTAGTTCCCCAATTCTCTCTGGGAAAGAATGCTTTTCTAGCAGGGACTAGGGACACGAGGAAGCCGGAGAAAGGTTAGTGTTGTACAGAGGTTTTCAACCACAAGGAGCAAAACAGCAGACACTGGAGAAGACGGGCGGCCAAGAGCTGGAGTCCAGCCACGCTGCCTCAGATGGAAGGCCCACCAGGCCCAGCTTCCTGCCCAGCCCGGGCCGGCCCAGGGAGCAGCATCCAGAGGGAAGCCATTGTCTTTGCGGGTTTCCAGGGAAGAGCTAGACCAACCTGGATGGTCTCCCGGCCACCTGGTCAGAGCCCAGGGCAAGGAGAGCCGGGCAAGTCCCGGAGAATGGTCGGCTGTGCCCAGGGCTCAGGTCTTGAATAGCAGGAAACCCCCGAATGCGGTGCCTGGCGGGCTTCTCTTCCGCACTGAGCCCTGGGTTAACTCGACCCACACTCTCTCACCCTTCTGCAGCTCGGCCATAGCGAAGGCAGTGGCCGTGCCTCCACCCCTCTGCTCCTCAGCGGCGCCGATGGGGGTCCGATGGTGACCTCCAAATACCAGCTGCCCAGCGCCTGGCCCTGGGCCAAATTCAATGCTCACTGCAAACAGGTAGACCCCGCGCTCAGGGGCTCGGAAGTAGCCATCTTCAGCGAAGTAGCTGCTGCCAACGTTGATGTGAGCAGCGTCGAACTTCACGGTCTGCGGCGCAGCCATCCCTCCTGAAAAGCCGGCATAGAAGGCCACGGGGGAGCCTGGGGGCAGGAGGACAGTGCTCAGTGACTCACGCCCTTGGATGGGAAATTAAACTCCGAGACCTGCCTCCCTCAGCTTAGTCATGATGCAGCAGGCCACTCGCGCTACAGCACCTAACACCCCAGGACCGACTCAGAGTGGGGTTAGCGGGCGACTCTTAGGGTTTCACTAGTTGAAAGAAAAATACAAGACTGTTGTCTCTACAGGCGTAACTCTGTACAGAGCACTTTCGTGTTCGATCCCTTCTCCCTTCCCACATCCTTGAGTCGTAGTCCCTCTGGCTGAGAAAACTGAGTGGAGTGCTGGTCAGTGGCAGGCGAGGGCGGCAGCCCAGGCTCGGACTCCCACCAGCCGCCACCTACCAAGGCTGAGTGACCCCCAGGGAAAGAGAGACCCGATCCTCAGGGAAACAGACTCACTGGTGTGCTGACTACGGAGCAGTGACGAGTGCTTGCTACCAGGACCTTAGGGAGAGAAGGAAGGAGCAGGCGGGGCCAGGGATGAACCGCCTATTCGGGCCGGTCATCTGAATGTTTTCGAAAGGCTGGCAGAGCCCTGCTCACAGGTGGGAGACGAGCGTGCTCCAGAGGACTCGGTCCGGGGCTGGGAGCTGTCCCGCAGCTCCTGGTCTCCGGAGTTCTTGCACTTGAAGAAGCATGATCCGGCCTCAGCAGGGTGAGTGCCACAGAGCTGGCAGGCATGGGGCGGAGGGAGCCCTCTGCAGAGGGGGAAGGTGCAGGGGAAGGACCAGCTGGCTGCCTGGCCAAGACGCTCCACAGGGCCGGGGAGGGTGAGTCCCCTGGGGTCCAGCATGGCACCGGCCCTGGTACTGATGCGGTCATGCTCCTTGGGTGCTCCCTCAACACGTGTGCACGTCCCACCCCCACCCCTGCCCCCATTTCTCAGGGCATGAAACCAAGGCCTAAAGGAACAAGTTTGCAGTTAGTTACTTAGGACCCAGAACTAGCTCTTGACTTTGGTCCAGCCACAGCCTGTGAATGACAGAACGTGGCTCTTCTCTAGTTCTGGAAGATTCCTGAGATTTAAAGCTCAGACTAGCGTTTCCATTTGTGTAAGATTGCGTCACCGCAGACCCGCTCTGGCCCTGCAGTTCTCCCAGCTCCCAGGAGGTGGGGCGCTCGTCCGCCTAGAGACGGCGGGCCTGGGACGCCCTCTGCCGGTGCCTGGCCCCCCTGCACCCGGTCCCACCAGC